GAAGTATAAAGAAACCGAAAATCGTTTCTTTTACAATCTTGGCCAAGAATCGTCGATAAATGGTTGTCACAAGGAAATTATAAGGATCTGAAACGAACAGTAGTGGCAGATTAATCAGTATTTAAGGTTCCGAAAGTGAAAACACGTTCTAAATACTCAAGCGCTTTAAGGTTATTGGAGACCTTCAGGCGTGCCTTCCGGAAAATGCTTTCTTTATGCGCTGCTTTAAAGAAAACCACGGTAAACTATATATCATTGCAAAGCTAATAAACTGTAGATTCCGAAAATAACAATACATGTTGTTATTTTTGTTTTGATAGGCACGCGCAAACCTTTAAACGCAAAAATGACCGAATTACCAGCCTTTGTGTTACCGTGGACATCCAAACTGACTGGACATTATCAATCAGGAGTTGATGGGCTAACAAAGTGTGTGAGGCTTTTTCGATATTTCTATTGGCTGCTTAGGAAGTCCCTTTTCAAGTTGGACAATAGAAAATTTTCTGACTGCTGTTACTCAATGGGAAGTCACAGGATCAATGTTTCGATTTTCGCAAAAGCCTCTCACACTTTGGTGCGCTAATATCTGACGAAGATTTTGGCCAAGTTTCGTTAAAATCCGATAAATCTACATACCCTATTAATTCATTTGAATAGAGGTAATTCACGCAAAAATGAACCTTAAGTTTTTGGCCTCGGAAAAAAATTCACAGTTTTCGCACCTCACTAAAGCGGTTGTCAACGTGGCCATGCCGCCAACCAATGAAACGCAGCTTTGAACTCCCCGGACGCTTCCCGGGAATGAATGTGCGATGTTTACATTACATCGGGAGTAGTGAAGTCTGCCGTGAAACATTCAGGAATTCGCATTTATACCATGCATATTTTCTTTAATGCGCCATTCCGAATTTAAATTGCTGACAGGAGTAAACTGGTATGATCTTGCTGTGCTAGAATTGTAAGTAGCGCAAGTAATCTAATTATGTTGTATTGTAGTGTAGTGTAAGTATTAGTATTGTTAGTAGCGTGTGTATACGTAGTGTATAGAGTAAGTGTTAGTATCGTAAGTGGCGTAAGTAATAAGTTTTTGTAAGTAGTGTAAGTAACTACGTTAATATTGTACTGTAAGCAGTGTAAGTAGCAATTCATTAAAAAAAAGGTTATAAACTGAATCAGCAGATAAATGGTAAAGAAGGAAAAAGAAAAAAGAGGAATGATAGCGGAATAGCCTTGAACAGACCTACCGTGTCAAGTGCGGATATTTACACATTTTTAAAAAATTCCAAGCGCGTAATTTATCGGCCTGTTTGTTTTATTAGAATATGGAAAAACACTCTTCGAAGCAGAGGAAAGGAGCGTTTGAAGAAGCTGCCTTGTCGGATATCAACGATTAAATTCGCCGGTTATTCCGCGGCAATCAACTTCTGTGCCAGAAGAAGCTAGAGCAAGGCATCGACGAAACATTTACTTGCGGTTTGCGCTTGCGTTCAAATGTGGGAACGCCAAGACCGTACAAAATCGCCGCGTCTATCAATTAAAAGACGAAAACAATCAACAGGAGCAAAGATTTCCGCGGATGGGATCAGTTGCCGTGAAAATTTTTACTGCTCAACTCAAGGGTTAACACATTTTAATTGGTTTATCACAGTTGGCGGTTCATTGACTCGTTTCCAAAATGTACGTTTTAGTAGATAACTCGTTTGCCTTTTAAGTTTTCAAAATAATTTTTTAAAATTTTTTTAGAAGTCTTTAATTTGGTGTAAAAAAAAAAAGGAATTTTGGGCAAAATAGGCCCTTGAGGGTCTACAGTAACCTTGATATTTTGGACGTATATTTGACAACTGAGAAATTCCCTTAAGTTTGCATGAAGTTATCTTATCTCTCATTCATTTTTCAGAATACAAATGTCTGAAAGATATTGACCTCGATACTCAAGACCGGATTGAAGACCTTCTCACCCAGAAAAGTTACGGTTCCGAAGGGTGGAGGCAGATCGCCTTCAAGTATGAAATGGATCATGTCAAAATTAGGTCTCTAGAGAACCNAAGACCTTCTCACCCAGAAAAGTTACGGTTCCGAAGGGTGGAGGCAGATCGCCTTCAAGTATGAAATGGATCATGTCAAAATTAGGTCTCTAGAGAACCATCCTGAAGCTGGCAAAAAAACACTGGATTACCTTCGTGCAAGCCACCCGGATCTGACCGTCTACGATTTTTGCAAGACGCTTAAAGAGCATAACATAAGGCGTCTTGACATTGTCAAAGAATTACGTGGACACCTTTCAGTTCCCAGTTCATTCAACAAATACTTGTAGTTCTGAAAAACTGTTGTCAATTTGGAGGAAGGCAGAAACCGCACGAAACCTAAATCCTTTTTCAACGGAGCACAGTGCTATTCCTTCCAACTAGAGCAGCTGTCTAGTAACCCTTTGTTGTTAAAATGCCTTAGTAAATTGAACAGCTTTTTTTTGCAGCTTGTTAACTTAAGCGTAAAACTTGTTTTTAATACTCCTAGTTAGTCGTTTTGACGAAATTGACAGCGGTAAGCATTTATAGTTGTACAAATTAATTGTTCAAAATAGCAAAAGGAATTAATTTTTATGTTTTTTTTTTATTATTATTATTATTTCTTGATACGTAGGTCACGCTAAAAAGTGACATAGCAGTTTCTCGCTAGAGTTTTTAGAGTGTTTTTACAATAATTTATGTTATTACTCGTCGATTTAGGTGAGTAGTGTTATTCCATAGACTAACAGT